ACACATTATGCTGGCAACAGTGTATGGTCACTTAAAGCAAGTCATCCTCCCAAACAGCCCAAGTTCTTCCATCTTCATATATGACTACTTTTATAGTGCTTTTTTTCTTTTTCTCTTTACAACCTAATGCTGGTTTAGTGGCTGACAGCCATACAGCTACCTAAGACTCCAGCTCAGGGAAAAGTTATGAGGAGAAAGCAAAGTCAAGAGAGGCAGCAATGTGTGCCAACTCCTGAGCTGCTGGAGGGACAAAGCAGCTCTGGTTTCAACTGTGTACTGTTCCTCACAGACAGATCCTTGCTTTGCTCCTGTTTGGAGGCCCAGGTTTTCTGATCATCACCTTTGAGCAAAGAGAATTATCTATCTGATGGCCTCTTCCATCCAGCCTAAAGGTGAAAGCTGGGGTAAGATATCTGTTTCAGCTTTGCATCTGCTGCTCCAAAACTTGTTCAAATAGCTCAACTTGTGACCACGTTAGTTTATTTTATCAATCAAGCTTTGATGCACTGATAACAAACATATCAGCAAAACTCTTGGACATGCTCACTAATAATAAACAGATAACTAAACTCTGACTGAGTTTGTTGGAAAATGGGAAATGTTTACTCCATAACATATTGTTGATAAAGTATAAAAATAAATAGTGAAATAATTTCATATATACCCTAAATATGACATCAAATAAAGCATTCTAGCCTGCCCATGCAGGGGGGAGACCAATGAAAGAAGTTCCATGCCTATAATGAGTTCCAGCAGACCAAACACAGAGAGAATCTAAGGACTTCACAGATATCCATTGATCAGATCTACAGGCACAGTTCTAAGATCCTTCTCATCCATTTTTTTTTCCTGTCATGATACTCTGATGTGTTTTTCCCTACTCTTAAGGTCTTGACATTACATGAGATGCTCAGGCTGCATTAAAGATCTTTAGTCTGTACCCTGTAAAAGAGAAGCTTGAAATATAAAAGTTGGGGAAAAACTCAAGTCTTTCTTCAGTAATTATTTTGATATTATAAACCTCAGTATACTAAAACCTGTCTTACACTTCTGGACAGAATATATGCCTTTGTGAGTTTTATATACTTCAATATATACCATCATATAGCTCTGAATTCTGTATTTCTTTTTGAATTATTACTTCATTTTCCCAAATCCAACACAAAATTTTTCAAATACAGATTTCTTACAATTTTTATTTGGCATTATAAACTCTACCAATTAATGGGAAGAACCCAGCAAGGACATGCTCCTTTTAATTGTTTTGTCTTTAAATAATGGCATATTTTGAAGGCAAAAGAAGGAAGGGCTTGAACAATCCCACTGACTCTGATGTCACATTGTCTTCGGACTTCAAAAAAACGCTGATAACCTTTGCTTTGTAGGCCAATCTTAATTATCTGGGTGGTTCAAGCTCTCGCTCATTAGGACACTTCATGGCTTTCTTAGCTCTGTATGCACTGAACTCTCAGTTGCTCAATCCTGCTGTTTGCCAGTGCTGTGGCTGGGGAAACTCCGCACACCTGTGAACCTACAGCAGTGCTGAAACCCGACGGGAAAGCTGGGGGCTGGAAGAAGCAATGAGCAAGCTCTTGGTTCCAACAGCTGTGTCCAAACCTCAGCAACAAAGCCTTGAGTTACTGCATCAAGAAATTTAAAGCCTGGACAAGAAAAGTGGAAAGGGGATGGGTTTGTACAGAGAAAGCTTCCATGTATGCCAGCACGAATTTTTTATTCTTTTTTTCTCTCAAAAGCATAAACACATACCTGTGGGTGCCTAAGTTGTAAAATGCCTGCTGATTCAGGAGCGCTTACAGGGAGGGGACACTTTGCATATTCATTGGTGTGCGGCTGAGATTCCCTCCTGCTGATACTACCCTTTCCCCCTGCTCATAAAGAGCTGCTTTGCCACCCTGTATGAAGTCTTTGTTGGCTCGTTTACTAAATCTTCAGCCTGTCTGCTCAGGGTTAAGTACCCTCAACTAAGGTATGATCCTCCACCACGTGCTCTGGTTCCAGGCTTGACTCATAAGTAGAAGAGTCCTTAAGCCTCAACAAGCAAATGATTGAAAACTCAGTAAACAAGCTCAAGAGGAGAAACTCGGCAAGTCCAAGTTTCCGGCTATATTGGAATGAAATGTGTTTTATAAATATATACTTAAAAGGAGGCTTTCAATGACTTTGCAATGATTTACACTATGTATATGTTGTATCTTTCAAATTCTCTTACCGTCTTAGAACCCTTCCTAGTCAAAGATGGGTTTAAGTAAAATTCAGTCAGGTTATTACAAACCCATAATTAAATACGGAAACCACTATGCAGAATTGCTCATTTTTTCTCTAAAAGAAAAAAATATATATGCTAAAGAAAGTTAAGTGGATTCTTGTTGTTTTTTTTTTTTTTTTTTTTTTTTTTAAAAGAAGTGTTTCTGCAATCTATCAATATAAATGTTCTGGAGGTATATTGGATATAAACTTACATAATCTTGGGTATATTTAAAAGTTCCCATGGAAACCATTTCTTTGTCAAAAGAACAACATTGCTTTGGGTTATTTGTAACTCACACCTGGTCTCATCCAGCTCATGTATCAGGACCAGGAGGTTGACTGCTGCTCACCAAGCAAACTGACTTGAGTGCTTTCAGTTTCTCACAGCCAGAACAGAAGGAGCACTGTCACATTCCTTCGTTATCCATAAATGGAAACAATAACAGTAAATCAGTTTAGCTAACCAGACCCCCTGAAAACATCCAAATGCCAGACAGCCTCCCTCTCCATGCAGGGACCATCCGGTTACGTTGCTTCTGTAAAAGGGAATGAGTGGGCAAGGTCCCAGGTCTCCTTAAGCAAAGATGAGTATTCTGTGTGTTGCAGGCTTTCCCTCCAGAGTAAGCTGCTCTTCTAATAAATGCTGTTCCGACAGCAGTGCTGCAGTTTGCCAGGAACAGCTCCCAGTGTAGGGCAGCTGCATCTGCAAAGGCATCTTCAAAGTTGCAGTTCTAATTCTCACGCCATTTGTCTTCCCTTTTACCCAGTTCTTCCAGGGGAAAGAAGAGTCCAGTCTGACCTTCCTCCCACCTCCAGAAACACTCCAATAACAGGAGCTGTAAACTGTAGCTGGGTTTCTATCTGACAGCGGCTGAGAGTCAACAGCAGCCCATCTTATCCACTTCAGAAATGAGCCCTGGCTGATTGGACAAATATTTCCTATTTACCAGCTTCTCCCCCCTCCTGGATAATTCTAGGGTTAATCCACCGCACCACCTCCTCAGCCCAGCCCCGTGATATTGACACTTAAGAAACACAGAGCTGTTTATATTTCATTGGAGAGCTCATACTATCAATTTTCACATTAGCGAGTCTAGCTATTGCTCTCTTCTATCGGGATCTATTGAGTGGTGGCAGTAGAGATATCCGCTGTAGTGAAGGAAAAAAAAATACTTAGCTGTCTGATGAAATGTTTTAAATGCATAGGGTTCACCTTGGGGTTGGCTGCTGCTCAGATTTTATCCATTAATAACACGCAGGGCTGCCACACTACTCTCCAGGGCTGATAGGAAAAATAGTACCACTTACAGATCCCCTGGTTTGCCTCAGGGAGAGTGCACCAAATGCAGCACATATCATACATTTTGGGGCTGAAATTTACTCCAGAAGAAAAAAAAAAAAGCCAAACATTATTTATATTAAAAAACAAACCCAACCCTATTCCTGCAGCACAGACAAAGGGAAGTTGTCATGCAGTCCAGTAGTTGCAGAACTCAAGTGCTTTGCTTGGGCTATGAAACACCTCTAGGCAAAACAGGGATAACATTTCATTGTAAAGGGACTTCTTTTTTTTCCCCTGCTTACAGCCCTGCAGGTTGACGTTTCATCCAGCAGGGAGAAGAATCTGAACTGTTATAAGGAGCCAAAAGAGTGGACCCTCAGTCAGCCATCATCTTTCCAGCACAAGCGACAATTTATTTTTTTTTTTTCTATCACTGAAACAATTCACAGGAAAATGATCATCAGAATGAGAATTGTTAACTGATTAGATTATTGTTGGCATTCAGTACAAGAACACAGCCAAGTGCTCAAGGGTAAGTATTATTTTCATCTGGTGATGAAGCTAAGAAAGGGATTCTGCACCCAATTCCCTGTACATTAATGATCAGAAGATATTTGGGCTGGGTTGCATTGTTTTCCCCTTTCTTTCAAAGTGAGCCACAGAGCTCTCTGCTGCCAGGAAGTGTTATATTTAAGAATATGAGTTTCTTTTGTAAAGGGAAAGGCATAATTAGATGTTAAGAGCTGATTATTGTATTGTTCTCCACACAGTTTTGCAAGAGGAACTACATTTGAAGAAAGAAGGGAAAGTATGTATTGTGCTTGGAAAGTGAGAGGTATCTGGCTTAAATATTCTTTGTCTCCATATCTGAAAACTTTGCAGAAGAGATGAGAAGTAAACCAACTTTTCACTGCACTCTAGAAATACAGCTGTTGCTGCAAGCAGCCCACTTATTTACAGTACCTGTTGGTGGAAACTGGCACTAGAGTTCGCACTTAGAGCACCAACAAGACCTCCAATCTCTTCAAAAAGAACCACTTGAAACAGAAAGCTATATATATATATATATATATGTGTGTGTATTTAAGAGCTTGAAACAAGCTGAACTTCAATCTACAGACTTCTTTTTACTACTCCATCCCCAGGGAGCAGTTGTACCTCATGCTCCTCCCGTAGGACTCAAAATCAAAATATTTCTTTTTCTGTCAGGCCACTCACACTGAGAATTCTGTAAGCTGTAAGCCTGGACAAGTATATATTTAGCTTATCCAAACTCAGTAAGAGACTAAGTGTAGGAGATAGCTTAGGTATGAAACCACGTTGCACCTAGGAGAGACCTGGGCTATAAGAAACATCCACTAAGCACTTCTCTATTTTGTGCCATACCACAGAGGACATACACTGTTCCAGTTTCTATCCTTCCAAGATATTTGAAATAAAGTTGTCAAACCTCTTGTTCTCTGGAGGCTCCTGGAACAGCCCAGAGCAGATTGGTCAACCACCACAGGCCTTCAGCTGCTGCCAGCTTCCATTTGTTTTTCAGCAGCATCTGTGAGAGAATACACAACTGATGTGAGCACTCACTTCTTTATTACTCTTCTCACCAAGTAAGAAGTGCTTCAGCCCTGCTTAACACCTCAGAGCTCTTTCTGCTGCTACTTCTTTATCCTCAGGATCCACTATATGTCTAGGTTATAGAGTTAGTCTGAAACACAGCTCAACTCCCAGACAAAAAAAAGCCATTAAGCTATCTATACATTAAAAGCTGGCTTGGTGACCTGGCCATGCAGCAGGACCTCAGCCCTGCAACAGCCTGTTCCACCTTTATTTATGGAGCCTACACAAGTTGTGATGAGTTGGGAAGTACTGCAGTTTTAAGAATAACAGTACTTCCAAGTTCCAAGAATTTTACACTCTTTTTGTGGGAAAGAGCATAGAGAATTTAGCTAGAACTACTTACCTATTCTACCCCACTCACTGTATCTTTATCATGTTCCAATACTTCTAAAGTTATATCATTACTTAAGTCTTTAAGGCCTATTTTAAAGATCATTAAGTGATTTTTTCCTACTGCTCCTATCAGAATTTTGCTTCTAAACTTCCCAGATGTCATACCTAAAAAAGTTCAAATTCTCAAAACATAGGGGCATATAAAAGAGAAACAACACTGCAATATTTTAAGTCCATTTTACATTGCTTCCTATAAACCACACACCAAAGAACCTAAATATCTACATCTAAGATACATAAATGAGAACGATAAAAAGTAGTACATGTAAGTGAGAATAAAGGAGGAAAATGTAGTAAGAACACCTCAGCCTCCCTGATCCTAAGCAAAATAGCTCCTACAGCATACAGTCATCTTTTTACAGAATCACAGGATGGCCAGGGTTGGAAGGGTCCTGAAGGATCATGAATCTCCAATCCCCCAGCCCTTTCCCCTGCCCTTTTTTTTTTCTCTATGAGCTTCACCTGGAAGAAAAAAACAAAACAAAACAAAAAAAAACCTCCTTGCATACAGGAAATAAAGTGGTCTCATAATTAATGATGCTCTGTGAAAAACTGACTTCTTCATGACCAGAGAAGTTCTTGGAGCCAAGGTCTGTGCTGAAGCCACCCCCTGACTCGGGGACAGGTGTTGCAATTCTTTTTAAATCTGCAGCAACAGCCTTTAGCTGTATCACAATTAACACGCTCCATGTGACAAAGTGTAACGAACTTGTGTGTTCTCCCCGGACCTGCTTGCAGCCCGAGGTGAGAACTAATGAATTGTCAGGGCTGCGGGAAGAAGACAAGGACGTGGAGGCAGAGAGAAAGGAATAAAAATGCAAACATCTGTGTTCAGAGGACAAATCTGCTCTCTCTCTCAGGTTATGCAGACACTTTGTATGGCTTTGGCAACTGAGCCACCTCTTTCCCTGCAATCACTGGTTAGTTAGGCCCAAACCCAAAGGCAGTATTTGTAGAAGACTTTGTTTGAACACATCCCTTCAGTTTATTGTTTGCTTTTTTTTTTTTTTTTTTTTCTTCCCTTCCTTCTATGCATCTTCATCCTTCATGGTTGATTTAGATTATGATGTAAACTAACCGAACGTGACACAGCTGCTCTCCTCAATAACTGAGGAGATGCCGGCTGCCACTCACCCTGGCACGCTGGTGGTTCACAGCAGGGCATACTGGGCTGATGGGGGCCCTCTTTTTTGGCATCTGTCTGTACCACCTTCATGCAGTTTGTTGAAACAAAACCAACGATGTTAGCAGCATATGGGCAGCCAGAATAGGGGTCATTTACCTTATTTGCCAACAAAGTAAAGGACAAGGCCCGGTGAAACAGCAGTATATTGAGAAGAGCTGGCGACACAGCGGCAGAGGAGGAAACCAAGAAGGATCCCAGAAGTCACCTCTGCCCATACATCCCTTTCCTTCAAAGTGTTTAGTTGATGAGGTCTATACAAGCTCTTTGGTTGTGAATTCTATGAGTTTGGAAAGCTGAGCTGCCTCTGCTAAAGCAAACCATACACATCTGGTCAGGGTGAGCACCCCACTTCCAATGCAGAGGTCTAATGCAAAGTTTGCTGAAAGCTAACAGAGATTTTGTTGACAATCAAATTTGTGTAATGGCTAACAAAAAATAAATCATTTCCATCTGCATACACTCTGATTAATAAAGGCCTGACATCAGAGGAGCCAAAAACCTGTCAGGGATCTGATCTAATTGCATATCTAACCTGACCAGAAGTAAGAATAATTGGAAACCTCTCACGTAGATTGTTCTTCGTAACTCAGCAGGACCAGCCACACACCAACAGCTTGCACAACCCAACTTCTGCAAACAAAAGCAGTGAGGATAATTTTGGAGAAGACCCCAAGCATCCACATTCACAGATGAGCTCTCTCAGTTCGCTGCCAAAAAAAAAAATTAGGAACTTGTTTCTGCGGTGGAATACCTGTAGGTGTAAAGTTACAGTGCTGGGCATGTTTTAACAGATAGCCTGCACTGAAACAAAGAACTTGAGGAAGGTGGTTAGTAGAGAAAAATAGCTCTAAATAGAACGGTGTCTGCAGAAACCAGGGATGACAAATCTGCTGCTGTATGAAAACATATGTATATGGCATTGTGAATTTAAGAGGTGTCTCACACAGCACATATAGTTCAAGTATTTATTATGACTCCGACTCATGAAAAATGTTCCCCTTTTTGTTAGCCATTTTTTGCCTGCGAAATTAAACTCACTCTCTGGATGTCTATACTTAATACGGAAATATCCTACAAAATATTATCTCTCCTTCTATATCTATGTTAATGGTTATTTAAGTTTCTGCTCTCTTCCATCCCTATCTCTTCTGGTTTCTGAGAACACATATGTGTACAAAACCCTGGATTTTAGGGGCTCACTGTTTCCTCAAATTGTGTGGGAATATAACTTTAGAGACTGCTAGTTTTACTAGATAATTTTACCAATATCTTTATATTTAAAAAAATATTTTGCTTGTTGTATGGTTCTTATAAAGTTTATATTAAAAGAGGGGAGGGAATTTAATTTCACATTATGACCCCAGAAAAAAATCACAGACTTTTATATTTCATCACTTATATCAGGAATATACATTAAAAATATATTCTCTAAAACTGCATGTCTTCGTCTGTGACAAAATTGCAGTATCTCTTCATTGAGTAAAATGCTTAACAAATACCTTCAACGTTTTAAAGAAAATAAACAGAATTACATCTAAGTATGAAAAGTAAAAATGTTGTAAATAAGGGAGTTGCTTTTTTTGTTGTTGTTGCTGTTGCTGTTGTTGCTTTTCTTTTTCCTTACAGCTTAAAGCTCCAATTTCTAACTTAGATGCATAAAGATTTTTTTTTTTTTTTTTTGTCAGCTTCAGCGCAGAGAAACATTAAAATTCATCTCACCCCAAACCTTTGTCGGGAAAAAAAGATGTTAAATATCAGCAAATGGATCTGATAAGCTGCAGACTATTTCTGCTGTCAGAGAATGACTGTAGGACAAAAACACATGTTCAGGATTTGACATCCCTTGGCATCTTGTAAATAGCCTGCATGAATCCACACCTAAAAACTGCCAACACAAGCAAAATTGTGCCCAAGTTTCTTGTAAGTTAAGCAAGCAAAGCAGAGACGTGAAACGTGGTTGGATTGAATATAGGAACCTAAAGACCCCCAAAACTGACCTTGAGATCATTTTAGCGAAAGATCTTCTCTGCACTTTTGCAGCGCCAGCCTGATTTCTTCCTTATAAAGGGCTCTGTCATTTGTGTGTGTGTGTGTATGTGAGTGTGCTGCAGGACTGTGTAGTAAACAGAGGGAAGGAAAAAAAAAAAAGAAAGAATTTTCCATAGATGAATAAGAAGGAATAAGATCTGCTGAGTAATACAAAATAGAACCTTCTTTTTTTCATTCCTTAAATGAAACGTGAAGTAATCCCTTGGCCTGGATTTCGAACGCTTCAACTCCACCCCCTCACTGAAAGAAAAAAAAGGTGTTTTTGTGGTTTGTCATTCAAAGGAGATCGCTGTCTGGATAGCATTTTTGTTTCTTTTTCCTGCTTTCTTTTTCTCCCATTCCTGTTAAAAATTGCATGAAGAAGTGATATTAATGAAGAGGAGTTTCAAAAACTGGCTTATTCTTATGCAGCATCAGTGTTTGTGCCACCAGACATGGGAAGAGATTATTCATAACGTTTTCTTCTCCCAATCTCTTTTTCCCCTCACTCCTTTGTTTGTTTGTTTTGTTTGTTTGTTTCAATTTCTAGATACTTTACAGAGATGTTCATCTTCCTTTCTTGGACTCAGGCTTGCCTAACATAAGAGAAGCTTATTGAAGCTGCTGGACTATGCTGTGCAAACTGCAGTCTCCTGATACTCAGTGTAGGGCCACAGGGGAGCAGGAGGCTGGTCTCAGTGTCTGTCTGGAGCAGTGGTACACATGGTTCTCTTCAGCCTAATGATGAAAAGGGAAATGGGATGAGGTCTTCACTACCGAGAAAGGTTACTCAGAAGTCAAGTGCTGTGTGCCAGGACACGGTCAGGCTGGGATGAGGAAAGTGATTCTCTCCAAAGGGCATGGAACTATTGGCAGCCTGCCTCTTTCCCTCCTCTTCCTCTGAAGCACCCTGGAGTCAGGATGCAGCCTTTAATGACTCAGTAGTCTGCTTGGCTGTGGCAGATCTTGCATTTCTGGAGAGAATCAATATAAACACTTTCTTTTGTCTTTCCTTTATTTTTTTCCCCTTTACCCATTGTACTGCCTCCTATTTCACTGTCTGCTGTCTATCCCCAGCGTCTAAGGAAGCTGTGATCCGTAATTACCGGTGCCTGGTGCTACACAGCCTGCAACAAATTTGCTCAGTGTAAAAAGTAATATGCAAAAAGCTTTTTTTCTTTTTTCTCTCCCTTTTCTCTCCCTTTTCTCTCCCTTTTTTCTCTCTTCTTTCTCTCTTCTTTTCTCTTTCCCTTCCCTTCCCTTTTTTCTTCTTCTCTTTCCCTTCCCTTCCCTTTTTTCTTCTTCTCTTCTCTTCTCTTCTCTTCTCTTCTCTTCTCTTCTCTTCTCTTCTCTTCTCTTCTCTTCTCTTCTCTTCTCTTCTCTTCTCTTCTCTTCTCTTCTCTTCTCTTCTCTTCTCTTCTCGTCTCGTCTCTTCTCTTCTCTTCTCTTCTCTTCTCTTCTCTTCTCTTCTCTTCTCTTCTCTTCTCTTCTCTTCTCTTTTTTTTTCTTTTTTTTTCCAAGTCTTTTTGGCAGGCTCTGGAAAAGGCCTGTTTCCTGGCAGGAGGAAAAGCCAGCCTTGGCTTCAAGCAGTCACTGACAATTCCCAGCATATGGTAAGAGAGGGAGCTTCCGCCTACCCCATCAGGTAAGTGCCATCTTCCTTACTACAGGCAGCAATGATCGATGTCACGCTTGGAGAGCACTGGCTGCTGGGATAGGAGCCAAGTGGCCAACTGGCCGATACAACGGAACAGGTCAGCGTGGACAAGGCCTCTGGGTGGGGAAGGCATGCTAGCATAAGCATGCAACCAGGAAATGTGTTGTCTTGATACACTGTCATGTGCTTCAGGTTTTTGGCTCTGAAGCCCAGTTTGAAAAGTTTGTATTGTTTACATTTGGGTTTCGAAAGGTGTGCTGGAGTTTTTTGCATGTGCCTCTCAGCAAATAGAGCACTGCTTGTGTGCCATTCCTTCTCTCTGTTTTCTTCTCTTTTTAGTCCTCCAGCATCTTTTCACGTTGTTTTTATAGCCTTTTATTTCACTTTGGCTAGAGGAAGACCCAATCACACATTCATTCCAGTTCTGCTCATGGTATTTCCATTATATTAGAGCAGTGCACTGCAGAGGCAAACACAAAGGTAGACCTCTTAGGGTAACCCTAGGCCTATCGTAGTCCCAGGCAGTGGTTCAGCACCAGCTTGGCCTCACGTTCTCTTTCCCAAACCTTTTCTTGCATAGTACTCTGCAGCATCACATGGAGTTTTGATACTTCAGAGCCATATGTTCAGGACTGCAAGTGGTTGCAACATGCTTGGGAGAGGAACAAGGTCTTGCACTGTGGTCCCACCCATGGAGCAGGGGGCATTGTGAAGATCAGGTCTCAGCCCCCTTGGGCTTTCTATAAGGCAGACTTCCTCTGCTTCCATAAGGCAGGTTTGCTTCCAGGCTCCCAGAGCAGATAAGTACCTTCAAGGCCCCATTGAGCCATTAAGACCAGATCCTCAGCTGTAAATCAGAGCAGCTCCATAACATTTTTTCCCCTCACCTGAGCCCTGACCTAGAGGGACCACATCTAGTGGAAAGAGGGTAATTCATTCTCCATGCTCACTCAATCCATAGACCCTCGGCCAAGGATGCTTATTATTGCTAACAGGAGTGCTGCTCTTTATCATACTGGCAGGGCTAAGAGAGCCCTAACTCATTTCCCATAGAGCTCTGAATAGCCATTAGCTGGTAAAAAGTTTTGGTGAGATCCAAACTGAGCTGTTCTCCATTTATCCTAATGAGGACTGTGCACTTTGCAGTTTGTCCTCCAACACAGAAATAAACTGTCAGTGGCTTCTCTTCTGCCACAGATTGATCTAATACAACTGCCTCAACGCACTTTGCTTGTGCAGACCGTTCCAGTGCACATTACTGTCATTTCTGATGCCCTAAAAGCTACTGCCTTCTCCCTCCCATGCTCTTAAATGCCTTAAATGCTCTTAAAAAGTGTGGTGACACTTTTACGGGTGATGGGGCAAGGGTCACATGCTGAATCTTTGCATGCCAAGAGATGCAAACAGCAGATTCCCATCCCTAAGAGGAAAGCAGAGTCTGATTTCTTTTGTCAGTAGTTTCCTTGTTTGTGCTTCCTTATTACAGATAAGCAAAAAGAAAGATGAAACATTTCTTAAATTGAATTCAAGGTTTTCCGATTGCCAGGATAAAGGATAGTCTAAGCAACCACAGTACAAGCATCCTTGTTTGCCATGAGAAATCAAGAAACACAGAACTGTAATGCAAGATAGTCTAGAATCCATCACAAAACACTGAGCTGAGTCCTTTGTGAGCCATTCCCCAAGTACCAGAAGTACTGCAGGGTGGTAGATGAGGAGCAGGAAGTCCATGATCATAAATTCATTCACCTGCACTATCAGGTTGCAGTGGATGCTGGTTAAAGGAAGAAACAAATGCAACTGATTTGCAACTGCCTGCATTTGTGGTGAACTGCTTTTGTGCCCCTGCGTTTCAGACAATTATGCATTCAGCCTGCAGTGGTATTTTAATGGATTGATTAAAAAAACCCAGAACATTAAACTAAAGGCAAATGTTTCAGTTCCAGTCCCAAAATACTGCATCAAATGTCTGTTTTAGAGAGGCTATGATACATCTTTAACTTTTCATTTTCTGAGTATTTAAAAGTGATTTTCAGATTTTGAATTTTCGATATCTCATTTTTGTTGTTTGATTGTTTTACCTTATTCTGTGATGCCTGAGTTGTAATGTTTGATAGTATGACAAGCATCAAATACTTTGATTCAGAACAATAGAAAAGTTACTATAGTCTACAGTGATGCTAAATAATAAATAATCCTTTTGATTTTGAAATAAATTAAACAAGATAAATATTTCCAGAATTACATTTTTAATGTACTGCTAATACTATTGACACAACGTGAAACAATTACAATTAGAGTGAAATAAACACTGTCAGTATTTAAAACAAACAAATTCCATCCCATCATGATTCTACTCAAAATATCCACTTTGTTTAATTAACTACAGCTCCTGAGCATCGATGAGTGGATTTTCAAGTGTTTAACAAGTTATGTGGAGTTCAGCAACAATTATTATTTCTTTTGACTGGTCATTCTTGTGGAATATTGCTGCCCATCATATGATATCCATTACTTCTCAGTTTCTAAAGTCTGCCATCCACATAGGGAATGGGAATGGTTCCGTGCGACTTAGGTGACCAATCATAAAACAAAAAATGAATAGTTAACAGCTGTCAGGACTTACTACTGAAAACAGTTTCATTCGAGTTTATGTATCCTCATGGTTCTGATTTTCTAAAAATGGCAATCCAGGTGTTCCAGCTGAAAAGTGTAGGTATCTCCAACAGAACCAGCATCTATGGAGATATCACCAAAAGGAGTCTCTGTTTTATCTTCTTTCTTTTTTCTTCTTTTTTTTTTTTCATTTCCTTTGCCTTAACAAGAGTAAAACTTGAACACAGCCAGGTGTTTTCACTTCAGAGGCTCCAATTGGCAACAACTCCAGTGCTTGGAAGCTAACAAATTTGTTGTGTCACAATTGATAATCAACTCTAGTAAAAGAATGTCCAAATCAATTGAGCTTTAGCAAGGGCAAACTGACTGGACACAGCCAGGCTCCCAGCAAAAGTAGGCCAAGCTTGATAAATTTGCCCTTATTATAGCTATTGATGTTTAAATTTCTTCAGGGATGTTGTTACATGGGTGCCTAGTGGTGACAGAGGTACGGTGACCTCCTTCGATCCTTAATCTACACCTGTTAGTTGGCTCCCTAGTTGCTTGTGAGTATACTCAAGCTTAAAGGTTAACAAAAGAAAAACAGGCCAAGTTTACGCGACTGCAGCAACGGATCAATGCAGAGTAAATAACCTTCTCTGTCTTATTTCCCCAAGCATTATTGATCCGAGTTCTTTGTTCTTTGTCATGTTTCTGTCTTCTAATCCCAGGGGACACTAAACGATCGGCTCATATTGGACATGTTAACTGGCACATTATGACAGCTACCATTTTGTCACTCAATGCAGTGCTATATATAAAGAACCCTCCATTCAGGGTTTTCTAAGCTGTTCTCTCTAAAACAAGAATGCTTTTTTTCCCTTCAGCTTCCTTTGTTCGCTCACCCTCTGCCCCTTAGGTATTTTGTCTAGAGGTCTGCAATAACACTAAACTTTTTTTTTGTTATTATTAATTGCCGCTCCTAAAATTCCTCCACCCTTAAAGATGGACAATAACCCAACAGTTAAAAATAATAGACACTTGTGCAGCATTCAGAGCTCGGCAGGAGTTTCAAGCAGCAGCAAAGGCTGGTATCAATTCCGACCTGTCGGGGCTTGTTGTTTTTTATTTAGGAACAGGAGCCCTTTCCTTTCATTATCAAGGTTACATTTAAAGGATATTGCGCTTTCCTAAGTGTCCTCAATGGATTTCTATGGGATATTACAGATATCACTCTAGCCACACGGAGCCCAAGCCCTGTCTTTCAGCGGTGCAGATGCTCCAAGTGCCTTAGCAGCTCTATAAACTTGCAGATTTGTGGTGGAAGTCTGTGTTCACTAGGAGACTATTGGATTCCTATCAAAATTAATTGGATTTCCTTCCTTATGAATGCTCTCTCTACATGCCCATCTCTGAATAAAGACTTGCCAATAATAACTCCCAGAATTATAAAGATTAAAAAAAAAAAAAGAAAAAGAAAAAAGAAAAAAAGTGAACTTGGAAGGCATGGCAACCTACTAGTGCTTATTTAGCCTTCCTCACACTGTATCTAGGACACAGAAAAAGGCTATTTTAAAAGAAAAAGTTTTTCCCTCCTGTGCCAAAAAACTAACAGAGAGGGATCGAATTGCTGGGGTAAGTGCTGTATGCCTTTCTGTCAGTGCAATGGAGAGGACAGCCATCGGAATAGTACCGCAGGCATTCAAGGCTATGAAATTCATAAGGCATTCTGGATCTGCCTGACACTCAATCAACAGCATGGTATAAGTAGGGAGAGAAGAGCTAAATTTTAAAAACAAAGAGATTTGATAGTCAGAAGGTAAATTTCTCTACGTATAGCATTTCACTGCATTAACCATCACTAATCGCCACGCAAATACACTCTGTCAGTGGACAATAATAGCATTATTACTTTCCTGCCACAGAATGTTATCTTTGTTTAAGTCACAGCTAAGTCAATCTGTTCTTTGAACAGGTACTTTTGTGAATGTGAAAAAATCCAGTGGAAAAAGCCACTGTATATTTCAATTGAATTTCAAGTTCCTTCACGTCTCCATAGCTGATAATTAAACCAACTGACCTGTTTCTGCATCGAAGCCTGCAGGAAATTAAGCAGATAATACTCATTAGGTAGATAGGCTTTGGGGGATAGTGTATTAAAAGAAAAAGAAAGAGCCCCCCAACCAAACAAATACACTTAACCATGAATCTCACAGCAGTCTCATCACTTGGCTCCAGGACTCTCATTTTTTCCACTGGTGGAAGAGTTTGGGGAAGTATTAACTGTAACTTTTGAAAAAGGGACCTAAAAACATATTTGAAGAATTTATCTCAGTTAAACTCAATCATTCAAGCCTAAAATCCAACCCAAATACTTATTCTTTAAGTAGAAATAGATCATTCCAATATTCATATTTCACAGGTGGCATATTTGTTTGTTTTTCCCTTTTTCACTTCAAACCATTAAAATACAGTAAAAGCACAACTGGAATGCAGTTTGTTGTGCATCTTGAGAGACCTCTCACTTTATTTCAAATGGGTTTATTTTTCTTTCTGATGTGCTGAAAATGCACCCTGAAAAGATGCTTTAATTTCCACAAAACATTTGTAATTTTTGGACCTGCTGATAAACTGAATAAAACAGAGATCAACCTGATTTAACGGTCAGTTCATTCACTATTTGTCTATCCAGCTGCAAATTCTTTGAGGCAAATACCACATTTCTTTATCTCTTTATAGTGTGTCTAAAACATCATAATAAAATCTAATTATTAATAAAATTGACATGTAAATGCAATAGAGGCATTGCATGTGGGCAGTATGCCTTGTGCTGCTGGAATCTCTTCCTCCATATTTCCAACCAGCATTTATATTGTGGAGTGTGGCATGAAAAGGTCAAATACGAGAAGAGTTATGGCGTAATTATCCTTAAAGGGTTGAATATCTACAGAAAGGACATGTAACATAGTCCAGAAATGCAGAATAAATTTCAAATTGGCTAAAATAAAGAATTTCTTGTCCTAAGTGATGTGCACGAGTATTTCCTTTCCTAAAACTGCAATGTCACTGTCTGGCAGGTGTCAAATAATGTCTCTGTTTTGATTTCAGGTGATGCAGTTAGTGGGGTTTTTATTTCCATTTATTACAATCCCAGTTAACCTCTGTTCCTCACTGGGGCAATCTGTAAAATGATGTCACTGATGTGATGACATCATTGTGTTAAAATTATGCCATGGTGGCAGATATGTGATGAAGTATAACAGTACACAAAATATATTTCAACTGTGCAAAGCCAGATGTGCAGAGCTCACAGTGTGTTTGTACTGTATATTTTAAAAAAGGTGTTTTCCTGTATTATTTTTATGCAACTATAAAATACTATGAAAAAAAATATATATCTCCCAAATGATGTATTATTATTTATTTCTTAATTTATCTTTATTAGTTGTGAGCAAAATGATGAAGTTGGATTCCCTTAGATTTGACAGACATTCATCCTGATCCGTAATTCATTGGGAGGACAGATCTCAGGTGAGAAGCCAGGGCCATGTCCCACTGTTTAGAATTTCAGTTCTTTGCCCTTTTTTAAGTGCTGGACCAGCAACTACCAAACTGCTAGCAGTGGAAGCATTCTGTTTAAAGAATACAGTGAATAGCATTTGAAAGCAGCTTTTTCTAAAGGTGTTTCAGTGGGAGGTTTTGTTTTGCTTTTTTCGTTGTTTTCTCAACATGGCCTTTGCCTCTTTACAGTGCACTCTTATGCTCCAAGTACAGAGCAGGAGCCAATTCTACAGTTTCATACCATTTGTGCCTTGATAGGGCAGTAGTAATATTCTCAGAAATCTTCAGGGAATATGACCTACCAGTCTGGATTCAGTTTTATAAAGGGACTAGTCTCTCTGACTATAAAAAGCCTCAGAAAAGGCCAAGTCATCAGCTAAGTAAAAAAAGGAAAAAAAAAAAAAAAGCCCAACCAAAAAAGATGGTGGTTCCTAAATCATACAATAAATAAATAAATAATAAAACAAATCTAAATATCAGCAAGAGGACTCTTGGTTTCCTTTAGGAAGTGCTGGGTAGTTCAGCTGACCCCGAGATGGGTTATTTCAGGGTTTTCCACTGTTAAGTGGGTCATTGAGGTAAATGACCAAAGAGACAGACCTGTCAGAACCTCTCAAACTTGTCAGAAAAGACACTTTCCTTCTTGCCATTGGAACTGTGTTGAGAACCATAGAATTAGCCTCTAATTTTCCTGGTTGAAATAATGGGACATTGTCACAGTCCTCAGCTGGGTGAAATTGACATTTTTCTGATGAGTTTTATAATTTAGACTAATTTAGGATATAATTTAGTCTTTGGTCTAGCTGAAAGCTGATCCAGGGTCTGAGCTTTACGTACAAAGATCAACTTAACTCTGAGTATGGATGCACGTGTACCATTTGGCTGATTTGGGATCTTGGGGATATTTGTGATTTTATTAGTATTATTCTTTCATTCCTCTGTTGTTAGAAAAGGATGTTTCCATAAATAAAGCTTTTAGACTGTTCAGCAGATTTGCCTCCTGCCTTCCCGGGCACAACCCAACCTCTTCTAATAATACAAATGTTATCATAGCCTAAAAACTTATTATTGTCCTTAATGTGTATTTTGCATTCTTATCAAAGGCCAGGATGGAAAGAAATCAGGGTCAGAAAGAGGAAGTGTCAAACTGACCATAAAAAGATATTTTTTTTCCTTCACATACTGAGCAAAGCAGGATTGTTAGAGTAGTCACTTGCAAACCGTATTATTCATAACACTTCACAGTTTTCTCATGGAAGCCGACAAACGTGCACTGCATGAACATATTTTGTTAATTCCTTATTTTTTTGCTATGAATACAGCTGAATAATTTTAGAGCATTTTCCTGACAGCAGTGATGGTGATACTTTGTAGCTTCCCTTGGATGAACATTACTACTGTTTTGCTCATTTTAAGGATGAGTAAAAAGAGGCACAAACAGTGAAATAAAGGTCAAGTGCAGGACTATGAAAATACAGGGAGCTCTGACAATTTTGAATGACTACCCCATATTCAAGTAAAACTCTGAAATCTTATACTAAAATAGTTAGCCATTTATCTAGAGCATGGTATTTTAGGAGGAATTACTATGTTTAACTAAAATATGGCAAAGCATTTTTGTATTCTTAACAAATCTTTAGATTCAAGCTAGAAACCTTTGGACCATTTGTTTGATCTTCGTATTTAAACATGATCTTAACAGTCACAGTTCACCCATGGCAGCAAGAGACATAATTGCAAGAAAGCACACTAATACGGACCAGAGCTGAATTAAACTGTGTTGATGGAGATAACCAGTTGCATATGTTTTTAGTTAGCAGGAGCCAAATCAGATAACCTCCATACAGAAACACTGGGCTTGATGGATATTTATTTCTCAGAAAAGACTGGATTGCAGCCTGAGTCGTGATTACGACGTCTGTCCGTTTATACTTAGGAATCAGGAAAATGAAATTCTGGATAAAGTGAAAAGGTGACTGGAGAGGAAGGAAGAGCAAAGTGTGTGAAGGGCAAAGACATAAACATTGGTGCTGTTCTCTTTGTGTTACTAGACAAGGACCTTCTATTGATTTCTCCAGGCATGCTTGCACTTCCTTCCTTCAGTGACTAATGATACGCCCTTTGGGTTATGATGACACTGCATTTCATAGGCCTGCAGGTCGAATACCTGATGTATTCCCTGCCCAGCTCCTTCTTTAAGTCATTGTCCGACTCCAAGCCAGGCTCTTCTCAACGTGAAGCAAATAAGAAAGGGAGATAAATTATGTCGTTCATCTCAGGACAGAAAATAAAATGCAACTCTTCCAACAGGCTCAAACATAGCTGGGTCTTGTCTGGGGCTTCACTTCCAGTCAGCAGCATTGCATCCAGTCTGGTGCCTTGAATGTTTTTCTCACAACAGTTTCCAGAACTCTGTTTCCTTCTGCAGGAGCCCCTGAGTGCATATGTGTTAGGCACACATTTCTTCGCCCACCTCTGCGTTGGAACACAGATTTGTTTTAACTTTGATGAACAATCCTCCACAAAAATTTAAAGAAAGAAGTGACTGATTCTTCTCTCACTTTCAGTAAATTAGGAATAATTCCCCTCTACCTCCTACCCCTAGGCCATGGAGTTAACACAAATAATGTAAAAATGGTGAAGGTGACAGAAGAGTTAGGCTAAAAATGAAGAAGCCTACTGCCTTCAACACAGAGAATGTGGGCCGCAAATTATATCTCAGCCTATTTAATTGCCAGGCAAAATGTGGGACAAGAACTCTTGGGGGCTCCCAGTCATCGTCGATATGAAGCATTTGTTATAAGTAGCCCATAATAGCTGCTCTGGCCAGCCTCCTTCTCATGTTCAAGAAGTAAAAACAGCAGGAGATTTTTGAAGGCGTGAAGAAGTAAGCATCTGACTTTCACTTACTTTCAACAAAATTTTGTCCTATCACTACCCTGCGTGCCTTTGAACATATCGACCTATATTCCACCAGCAAACTAACTTTTGCATAATGAACTCTGAGCTCTCACTGTAACCACCTGAAAGACCAGTGTCACCACGAGTGAGAAATACCTTAAACTACTCATTTGAACAAAGGACTTTTTTATCTCAATATCCAACGCTGCTTTTACTGCTTAGGGAGAATGATTATTTTTGTGAAGCTGGAGATCCCATCATTTAACGTGCAGAATCTAGAATGCCAATCAGAATGGCTAAATAGCTCATGTTTGTAGCAAAATGTAGCCGTAAGGCTTTCCTGAAGCACCTCATAATGTAAATGGGATTTTCTCATCTAGAGACTGAATTTACAGCTCAGATGTAAAATTTTCTGTCTTCCAGGAGACTACTGTGACTTGAAAAAACCTTAGAAGGCATAGAAATACATCCCTAAAAGCCTAGAAGAAGACTGATACTGAGAAGCCTCCGGACGCCTTTCCACGATTGCCTATTCTTATAGAACACTGGAAACAGTTTAAGTGCAGAGACACTGCCCCTGTCTCACCCTCTTTTGATGACAAATCTCCCCAAGGAGGAGATAGCTTAGCTGTAGATTGGAGAGCTGCCTTTGGTTCAACAGCAGGATGCAAGCATTTCTTTCTTGAGCTGCACTGTATTTATACTGCAACTTTGCCAAATGTTGATAAGGAGACACTGATGTGTAAAACCTGAGCATGTTTGATCTTTGCTCCAATCACTGCTGACAGCAGTACGCATGCCTTCTCCTTCTCCCCATCTCCCCCGAACATATTGGCCAAAGAAATGAGTGGAAAAGATTGGAAAGCAAGCACTTGTTAGCCATAGCAGTGCTGACAAATGCCAGTTCGGTCAGCGGCCATGAAGTTTGATCTCAAAGCATAAGGAGTATCATGGATGGGGATCAGAGGAGCTTTCCAGGAACTATTCTGGATGCTGAACTGGAGATTCCAGAAGCTGCTGCAGCAAAAAACCTGCCCATATCATACTTCAACCACATCCCAGGTCCTGCTGGACTGTGTGGAGATATTTCATCTGGTAAGGAGCTGCAGTCAGGCACAGAAGTGATGCTGACAGTGTCAGGAGGCAAGAAAATTCATACAGAAAGGGAGCAGGAAGGGGATCTGATTTCTAGTTATTCAAATGCTAAACAGGTGAAGTGACCTAGCAGCAGCCAGAGAGTCAAAGCAGGTTCTGAGGATTAGAATCCAGTTCAGCATGCAGAATAGTTCCTGGAAAGCTCCTCTGATCCCCATCCAATTGAAAAGTTCTGGTTGGAAGGGACCTTCAAAGATCATCTAACTCCAACTGCCTGACCTATTCAGGGCTAATCAGAAGTTAAAGAGTACTAGTGAGGGCACTGTCAAATGCTTCTTGAACACTGGCAGGCACTGGGTATCACGGTTATAACCTACCAGGCCATGCTAAGACAGAGGAGCATTTACTCCAGTAACATGTGAGCTCACGGAAATACTCTGCTAACGGCCAATAACATGAAGAAACATACATCTGAGGATAATTTCTTAGTTATCTTATTTCTGAAGCTGCTTTTTCATTCAGTTTCATTCATTTTCCTTCTCCTGCCACCGTTAGGAGGTGCTGAATGGATGCTTTCTCCAGGCAGACACATATTACGCCAACTGATACAGAAATACATTCACACAGGGAATTCCTGAACCGCCTGTTAGTTTTAGAAATATTATTCAAGAGCCAAAATTATGTGATCCTTCTTGGAACACAAAGACCATGAAAATCAGTAAGAATTTTCCTCCATTGAAGATCTGGAAGTCTGTGCCATCTCTTAATATCCAACAGACTTCTCAACTATCTGGTGTGATTTTCTAAATTGAAACATATGATAGAAATGGAAAGCTTAATGAAGTTTCCTCAGCTTACTAATTATTCACTCTTTATTTTTTTCTTCCCTTCCTTGCCTGACAACTGAAGATTGCAGAGACATAAACCTCCGAGGTTTGAGTTGCTCACAAAATCCCTTTTTCTGTATCCACACAGGTTAAGATAAGAAAGAAATGACATCACTCATGTAATAAGAATGCCAAATGTCTGAACAAAAGATCTGATTTTTTCAAATGAGTATTTTTACCATCCTGAGATCGATGAATTAGTAGGGATTTTAATGTTAAGTCTCTGGCTACTATTGCCACACTTCACTGACTAGGACCAGCAGCTATTCCACCCATTTGTAATTTTATTTCTTTACCAAGTGCTTGATCATGAGAAACAATAACTGTCAGCAGCATAAATTCCCTCAGAACTTTCAAGATGTACTCTGACTAAGTACAGATCCAATAACCTAACTGCTTCCAATATCTCTCAGGATCAGTCTCTACCTGTTCAAGACTGAGCCATAATGTTCTGTAGAATGCAACTGTCTACAGAAGTAGGAGCCTTCAATATATCGGCGTATGAAATCATTCCTATTCCTCTGCAGTAGTTTGTAAAGTTTCCAAACTGCTTTCCAGGCTTTCTGAATGAAAGCCACTATATAAGTGTAAGATGCCATTATTATTTATTGTTTCAGTTTGACAGAAAGATGGAGGGTTTCATTTTGACTTTATATTTCCATCTCCTCTCCACTTTGCCTTTGTTTCATAACTTTATGACATGCAGGATTTTCCTTTGTATTCCTTCCAAGCTATTAAGACAGAGAGGTTGGAAATGCTGTAGACGCAAATAAGTTTTTTATTATAGCAATTTTTAATTATTGTGTTCTCATCACATAGGAGATTAGACTAAAGGCCTCAAGCACCAGCGTCCTGTGTCTGAGGGTAGCTGGTCAGGATTTTCCTAAAAGGAAATTTATGTCCCATTCACAAGGACCTTACAGACAGGGAAACTTTTTTCACCACCCTACATTTCTGCTCACCGTGGCCCTTTGGAATGCTTTTTAATATTTATTTTAAACATGGCTCTTTGCAATCTTCTGTAGTAATTATTACTCTCTCTGTTTAGTTATTATTTTCTGTTACCTCTCTCCCAAACATATATATTTTTAATTTATCCCATATTTTTAAGTAGGGAACTGTATTTCACAGCTACAAGATGCTATATTATTTCTTCTTGAATATTTAATTTAATAAGTTTTAGTAAGGTAAATGTTAGTTGCTTCTACTTTGAATCATCCATAATTTTGCTAACAACCAGTACAAGACACAAAACACCTACTCTTCAGTATGGCTTTGCTGCTTGAGCCAGCTGAAGAGGAGTTTCAGTTCCAAACAGTCTTTAGAAGAGCAGAGAATGAGACTCAGCTCTCATCCCATTACCAGCCTTATTTAATCTAAAATACATCTAAAAGAGACTCTGTTATCTCTGAGTTGTGTGAACGCAACACAGCATGTTGATGCAAGATCTGTGGTGAACCATATAGAAAAAAAAAAAGGTGGCGTATGGAATCCTAAGTACGTGAATTCAGCAGGTAAAACAGGGCGCAAAATAATGTTTGAGGTCTGTGGCTCTGTCTCAGATAGTGAAGGAGGAGATAACTGCTTCTGTAGTGCATAGAAATGAGAACAGCAGAGAATTAGTATGATGGGTGCCATAACTGCATTAATGTCAGTAATATCTGTCACAAAGCAAAAAATAGATTAAAGGAGGAGTGTGCTGTCTAGCACATCATGGTGCCATGTGATCTCCCAAATGCTGAAATACTGAGGTAGATTGTTTTTTTGTTTTAATCATAATTACTCCAGTGTCAAATGAGATTGTAATGAGATATGGAGTTGTTAAGGAGAGTTCATCATTTTGGTACTTCTGAGAGATGGTGTCAGATAACAAGTTTTTCTCCCCATGTTTTTCCCACTTTTGCAGCTGCCTCTTCATTTCCTGGTTTGGAGACTGACTCAGAATTGAAGACATTAAGCATTAAAATTAGCTGAAAAATAAAGGGTGGAGATGTGAATAATGTCAGGGACTTTGAATTCTATTTCTCATGAGCTTTCAAACGCGTTCAACTTTTCTTAAAAGTCTTGTTTAATACTTGTTCCAGCTACTTTTAGAAGACACTTTGGAAGACATGAGGGCGAGATACTTCAGACACGAAACCTAATGACTTGGAGCACAGACCACTTAAAAATCAGTCCCAAATCCCTGAGGCTTCTGTACTTTGGCTGATAAGGCAGAGCCTGGTGTATCATCAAAACTTCTGTGATATCCTTTGATGACAATGCAGAAATCATGATAATGTAAAATAATGGATTAAATTTCTATGAGCATAACTGTAGTGATGAAACAATTTAAACTCATTTCTGAAGGCATTCATGCATTGGTGCTCGCTCAGGGTTTGGACTAGAATGCTACTATCTCCTAGACACTAGACAGAGATGTTTTCAGTTGATGACCATTCTCTGTTATTATACTTGTAAATCACAGCCTGTCCTCATCCTTAAAGATCAAGAAAGGAGTAATTTCTGTTTTACAGGAGATTACTTGCACTACAAGTCTAACTCTTGCTCACTTTGAGGTACTTAAACAAATCTGGAGCCCTGGCTGTCGGACAGACAGATAGTGCCAGTGGGAAAATCAGCTCTGAACTTCATAATGGGAATTTCATTCATTTTCTGAATGTGTTCATCCTTATCCATTAGCCCAGAGGACCCAGGACTAGCAGACTTCTGTGAAATTCAGTCCACTGCCTCAGGTTAGATTAAATAAATCTATTCTTCAGATCATCAGAATTAAAAAAAAAATAAAAATACAAAACCCAAACCAAACAGAAAGCACCAACAACCACATAACCATATAATAATATGGAAGGAAATAAAGGATTAAAAAAAAAAGGATATTTTTATTTGTGCAGCTGACCAGATATTTCCATCTCCAGATTGCTCCCTCTGCTGCCTACAAGGCAGCTGAAGGGGAGCTAGCAAAGGTGGGCTCTGCATCCCTCTTCCTCACCCAACTCCCAGCATTAGAGATGCCGACAGTTACTAGATAAAGTTAAAGACTCATGTAGTGATCTTCACACTAATTGGACTGTAATGTATAGCCTCGGTCAAGCAAATCTCTCCCAGCACTCCTCTCCACAGACGGCAATCAAGCCATTTACAGAAGATGCATCGGCTGCTGGGACCCTGGAGTAACCTTAAACTACACTGGCCTTTTAGCAGAAAACACAATTAATTTTGATACTGAAGGGCAATTAGGACTGGGGTTAAAATAAAAAATCTTCTGAACAGAGAATGTCAAAGACTGGTAAGGAAACTATTTCCCTTGTACACAGCTTGTTGAAGGTCTGTAAGCACGGCAACTGTCAGCTCATGTTAATTCATATCACTTTGAAAACCTCTCATTTCAATGTAGGAAATATAAATTCAGATTAATAAGCACTGTGCTCAAACCTCACTAAGACTGATGGCTGTTTTCTTTAAGCATTTTGCTGCTGAAATGAGCACAGCTTCTCCCTCTCGCCGGGGAAACCTGTTTTACATCCCAGAATGTGGAGAAATGACCAAATGCATTTATTTTGTTCTGTTTCATTTCTGAAAGAAGATGGTCTCCCAGCTGACACTCTGCAGATCACGGCTAAGAGCAAATCTTGTCAGCAACTCTATAAACTAATCTTTAGAAACACAGAAGACGATCATATACATAATACATATCTACATGCACCCACATGCCCTGATGCATGTGCAAGGCAGCCAAAATTTTGACCTCGCCTGCACGAACTGCTCAGGTTGATGCCACTCTCCACAAGTCAAGCAGATGAACTAGGTTTGTTAGTTACGGGTTTTCCTGTTGCTGTTGTTGTTTCATAGAATCATAATTATAGAATGGCTCGGGTTGGAAGGGACATTAAAGCCCCTGCTGCAAGCTGTTCGACACCCACCAAAGCAAGCTTCCCAGAACTCCATCCCTCCTGGCCTTGAATGCCTCCAGGGATGGGGAATAATACCTCCACAGGTGGGGCATAACATTCCACCAATGGGTCATTTTTTTCCCCAAAAACAATCAGTTGAACACTAAGCTGAAGCCCACGAGTGTCATTGACAAAACTGAAGCATGACAACAGCCAAACTGACACAGAAAGGACAGCAATATTCAGTGAAAATTTTCATTAGCCATTGTGTTTAGGAATTAGAGATAAAAGATGAATGCTCAGGAACCACATGTGCAATCCTGATCCTGCCTTACTTGTATCAGGCAAAGATTTCAGACACATTATCCAGTAATCGTGACTGAATATATTGCTGGGACAAACATAGAGTGAACATAGTCATTTTCTCAAACTGTACATGAATACTTGTCTGTGACAGTTCAGGAGAAGATGGGCAGCTTTAATATCAATAATCTCAAATAAAGTCAAGCTGTTGGCCAGTTTATGAGAAAGCAATGAGAGACACTTTATGCTGTTCCAAGGGATGGGATATTTGTGAATCTTTTCCTCAAAACACTCCCTGAACATGCAGATCTTCAAAGTGCATACTAAGGAGTTTTACAATCCAGTGGTACCCATGCAGTAAAGTCATCACAACTCTTACAACAAATCCTACGGCCTTGACTTTGAAAATCTGTTCCTGCTTTGGTCCAGGTTTAGTAGAGGACCTTCTTTTCTCCACAACCTCCAAAGTGCTATCAGATGTCTGAGGTAAGGGGGTTCCCCATGATAGTGAGTGACCAGCATAGACTGATTGCATGCAAATTAGCTTTTTTAGAGTTTGTCAGATAGCCCATAGCTCATGACAAGTGTTTTTGTTGTTGCCTTTTTTTTTTTTTTAAATGCAATTTAAACAAGTCTCTGCATTTAATATCAAGTGAATATTTCCAGGTATATGCAGGCACATCAGGATTGGAAAGAGATGGGGGAGGGTGAAAAGGAGTCTTTCTGTGGCTGGAAAAAAAAAATAAATAAATAAAAATCAAAAAGCCATTTCCCTCAATGCTATTGAAAAGATTTTTCCTGGTCTTTTCAGGTTCTCTTTTTTGTTTATAGGGCTCACCAATCTGCAGAGAATTTTCTCATCTGAGGCTCCAGAAGCCATCCTGCAAGTTTTACATGGGAAACCACTAACTGATGTTAGATTTACACAGCAAGTAGTTTTTATATATGTTTTTCTTAAAAGCAGCATCCTGGGGGAAATCTTGCAGTAGCAAAACCAGCACAAGAAGCACTAACAGCCAATAGAGCATCTGAGGAGTTCACAGGGTTAAATCTGTTGTTTTCAGGATTTGATTCAATCTCTGTTTTGTCAGCCTGTTTTAAGTTCCAGGGCTCCATTCCTACCAGCTACAAAAAAGGGTGAAGAACCCAGAGTAAACTCATATGGGCTTTTCAAATTCAGCATGATTCATATTTGTGTGCAGCCTCTATCATGGGCTGTGCACTGCCCACTGCCAGAAACCATGTCACCCTCTCAATCTTGTGCCAGAGGGGGCAGGTGGACAAGATAACTTAATAGCTCTTATTCATTTGAAATTTCTGTGGTTATAGGGTAGGTCACCTTGTTCAGCAAGAGAGGGAAAGCATGTAAATCTTCAGTCCAAACTCAAGCTCCGGTGTAAGCAACTTTCAGAGAAGCTGAACCCATAATTCTTCTCTTACTATCCTGTAATTTCTTGGGGCATTCCTATACAGAAGAGTGATGCAAAGGCTCCAACAGTAAAGAAAAAAATAATCCACAACATTCACACACACAAGATGAAAGTGAAAACTCCCACCAATGACTTGAGTGAGGGACAGGAGCAGGGCTGGTCTGTGCAAAGCATATGGCTCTGTGTTGGAAAGAGGCGTAATGCT